ATATATATAATATAGAAAAGATATATAAATATATATAATAAGATATATAATATAATTAAATATAGTAAATATATATATAATATATATAATATATAACTATTTAGTAAACGATTAATTATAATAATATATATGAGAATAGAATATATATATTTATAGATAAGGATATATTATATAGATAAATATAAATATATATATATATATAAAAATAATATATATATATATATATATTATATATATATTTATATTATATATATATATATATATATATATAATATATTATATATATATATATATATATATAATATATATATATAATAATATAAATATATATATATATATATATAATATATATATAATATATATATATATATATATATATATATATATATTATAGAATATATATACTATATATAATATTATATACATATATGTATATATGCCAATATATATATATACTGCATATATATGCATATATATATGCATATATATATGCATATGCATATATATATATATGCATATATATATGCATTATATATTATATATATATATATATATATATATTATATATATATATATATATATATATATATATATTATATATATATATATATATATATATATATAATATACATATACATCTTAAAAGAATAGTAAAGTAAATTCATACAATCATTACCAATAGAATTCATACATTTTATTGTATTACAGTTGGATGTTAAAGCAACATACTCACGGAATTACTTACCAAATACCATTGTTTTTTTTATTGTTTTATCTTCTGTACTGAACATGCAAATATTTTATAGAGAGAAAACATGCTAGCATGCATATAAGTGGGTTTAATCTACTTGCTATGTGTGTGTGCTGACATGGACAGAGAACGGAAGGTGTCTTTAGTATCAATATAGTTGGTCAGTATTCAGTATCAAAAATATTTTTTTCACGGCTTATTTTTTCTATATCATTTAACAGTTCTTTTACTGTTTATTCATTCTACCCATTTCTAATTTTGTATAAACATGCACTTATTAGCTGGATCCAGCACAGACTGAAACTTGAACATTTCAACTGTCAGATACATTTCTTCCATGATGTATTCTAAATCAAGATTTTTTTTTTTTTTCTAAAAATTGTCTCTCCCCCTTAATTTTCTAGCTGAACAAAAATCAATATGTGAATCAGAACAAAATGATAGATTTGATTTTGCTAATTCATCAAATATGGCATGTTTAAAAATCTGGAAATATATTATCACATGCTTTAACACTTTACCTTAAAATCATCATTAAATATGATAAACTGTTCAATAACTGTCATCATTTCTCATAATGACAAGTTAAAATCTAAAACATAAATTATTAGTTTACAGCTACTATGCCAAATTAAACTATATTATGTACATATCTCCAAATACTTGGATTTTAATCATTTCTACAATTAAATTAACCAAAAACATAAGATAAATGAATTCATAAATTATGAAACTGGAGATCAAATACAGATTACTGTGCACAAAAAAAAAAACTTTTTGGGTTAGAGAGAGCAAAAGTTCCAAACACCATAATCTGAGCCTCCGTTCCTTGTTCCCATGCGAGATCTGCCCCGACCTCACCTGATCTGAGTGTGTCCTGAGAGCCAAGGGGTTGTGGGGGCCCTCCAAGGGGGATACGTCGTCCGGGGGGGGGATGGAGGGAGAGTTCCTCGTACATGGGTCGTCTTGGGTCCCAGGTGGCATGTGTGCCGCGACCCGACCCCCCACCTAGAGAGACAACCAACAGCCGCCCACTCAACACACAAGAAGCGCAACTCAAACTACATCAAGCGGTATATGGCTTTTCTCAGCTGCATGACTTGAACAAATAATTTTCTTTCTGTACATTTTCTGTTTTCATCTTTTTATCAAAAAGTCTTGTTAGGTATAAAGTGAAAAAAGATGACTACTGTAAAAATCTATAGCACATGTCTGCAAAACATCTATTCATTCATGGTGTCAACAGCTGAGAGAGCAATCATAAAAAAATAAATAAAGAGCTGGTCCCAGCTGAGGATAAAAAAGAAAAGAAACACACCAGGACACTGAGTCCAAGAAGAAGAAGCACAGCACATCTAGCTCACAAGAGATTTTTTCTGTGATTTATAGAATCAAATCAACATTCAGGGGAAAGATGAACATTGTAAGAGAGAAAGAAAGAACTTTTTTGTGTACATCTGTCCACCTACAATGCTTTATCATACAGAAATACCTTACAAATGTATATAGTGAGAAGTCTGATTATTCTATCAACTTTCTTTTTAAAATCTATCATAGCTACACAAAATTCGCATCAAAGATATGTATCCACAAAAGATGTAAGCTTTAGAGGTTAATCCTGTTGTGCTATGAATTTCTATGCAATAAAATTCTTGGTTTCTTCTAAACTTATCTATTCAATATATCAGAAGTCATGCAGACTGATAAAAAAATAGAGGCAGTAACTAAGTGTCCACGTATATCAGAATGAGATTCATAAACAAAACCTCTATATCATCTTGTATATAAAAAGTGTAATTCTACAAGTATTATTATAACTGAATGATGCTTGAATATATAAAGGCTTAGTTTAAATTTTCCTGAAATTAGATTCAAATACACTCCTATATATGACTTGCCTTTAATGCAAAATACTTACGAAATCATGAAAAAAATTAAAATCAGTTGTAAATTATTTACTAAAGAGTGGATATTCTTCTTGTATCACCTAATAAAAAATCACAATAAAGTAGAATTACTATAAAAACCAAAAAATGAATTTGAACTTCTGTTCAGTACCCCTATCTCCACAAAAGTATCTGATACAAACTGACTCATCTAATATAAAGAGGTCTTAATTCTAAAACTGTCTTCCACTTTGAAAAGTTAAAAGAAATTCCTATCTTATCCATCCATAAATATTTTGTATTGACACAATAACCACTATATGCTGGCTGCCGAATATTTACAGCACCTAGAGCACGTACAAGTCCAACAAACTACACCTCTTGCCCTCACTACAAAAATTCACCTGATTTCCTTGATAAGCATTTCAGTCAATCAGTAACAGTCAAAACTAACAAATATCTTTCAGTATCTAATATTGCAGGATATTTACAAAAATTACATCCCTCAACAAACCATATTTCTTTCAGAGCTATTATACATCATTTTAGTTTAATCACCAATTCTCATAAAGGAAGATGTGTTATTATCATTTACTGGGGGAGGACAATAAAAATGAGAAATAAAATCAACAAATTGATAAACTCCATCTTTGCTTTTATCATGAGAAAGGGGATCTTAAGTTTATGAATATCAAAAAATCTATCGCTGTCACATGTAAAGTTGCTTTATTGCAAAATTGTTCGGACACCTTTGGTGAATCATTCTGATATTATCACTTGGTCAGACGTATCATCATTTTGAAAAAAAAAAAGTTGCAAATAACTTTTCCTATTCTACTAGTGGGTTTTCAGACACTCTACATGCATAAAGCAATATGTCCGTCATCTAAATAGAGGGTATATATCCATAATGTGGATATTGTTCCGAGTAGTACCCACGTATATGAGGTGTAGGATTTTATAAGGGGCAAGGAATGAGTAAGTGATGAGTTGTGGTGCGCAGTGCTGAGTTTGAGTGTGGAGTGTGATTTGTGAGGAGTTGTGATTTGATTGTGATTGTTGATCTGTGATTATGATTATGATGCTGTGTGTGTTGTTGTGGTTGTGTGTGTGTAGGTGTGCGTGTGTGCTGTGGGTTGTGTGTGTTGTTACTAATTTTAACGAATATTCATACTGTGGTGGTCGTTGCTGTGTGTGATTCATGCATGTGTGAAATCAGAAAACTGTGGTGTGTGTGTGGTGATGTCGTGTTGCGTGCATTCTAGCATGTGTGTGTGCTGTGTGTGTTGTGGTGTGTGTTTTGTGAGATGTGTGTGGATGAGATTTATACCATGTGTGTGGTATGGTGGGTGGTGTTGTGTGTTGCTGATGTGTGTGTTGATCGTATGTGTGTATTGTGTGTGTTGTGTTTGTGCCTGGTGTGTAGTGTTTGTGTGGTGTGAAAGTGTATCTTCGTTGTGGTGTCACTTTTTGTGTGTATATGTGTGTGTGTGTGTGTTGTGTGTGTGTTTATGTGTTGTGTGTGTATGGTGATGTTGATGTTGTGTATATGTGTGTTGTGTGTGTTGTGTAATGTTGTGTGGTGTGAGTTCTGGGTTGTGTCAATCACAACATGAGATTGTGTGCGTGTTGTGTGTGTGTGTGAATGTGTGTGTTGTTGCGTGTGTGTGTGTGTGTGTGTGTGTGTGTGTGTGTATGTGTGTGTGTGTGTAGTGTGTGTGCCGCCCGCAATGTGATTATTTTGGGTGTGCGGTGATGAGTGGAGTGAGAGTTGAGTTGATTAGTGTATGAGTCAAATAAGTGAGTGAGTTGCCAGTGAGGTATGTGTGTGTGGCAGTGTGTGTGTGCGTGTGTGTGCCGTTATATTGTGTGTGTGTGGTGTGTGTTGTGATGCTGATTGTTGTTGCCAGGGTTTGGTTGTCGCGTTTCGATACATTCGTTGAGTATGGTGCTGTAATGTGTGATGGTGTGTGTTGTGTGATGTGTGTGTGTCGCTTGTGTGTGGTGTGTTTTGTCGTGTGAAGACTAATATCACGAGCGCTGTGATAGATGGTGCTCTTACGTGGAGCACGCTGAAATGATGGTGTGTGTGTGACAGCAATCTTTCGTTGATTTGGTGTGTTGTTGTGTGGATGTAACTTTGGTGTAGTGCGGTGTGTGTGTATGTGTGAGTTTTCGTGTGTGCTTGCACAGCCCCGCAATGTGTATATTTGGCGTGTACTGTGATTGATGCGAGTGAGTGAAGTTGGAGTGATCGGTGAGTGAGTGATAGTGATTGCAAACGTAGAGAATGCAAAAAGGAACGGAAGTAACGTGATGTGACATAAAGATCAGGATCGTAGGTAAAATTAACAGAGTGTGTA